AGTTGTTCTTTAATTCTTACAACCTCACCTCTCATTTTCCCTTCATGCTGCTCTTCCCTCCAGGCAGGCCTCTCCACCGATTATAATTCTTGAGGCCAGGGGCCACGATTGACTCAACTCGATAAATGCTTGTTAAGTGGGAGAGCAGAGCAAGATGGCAGCTAAGATCCTCTGGTGATGGTCTTCCCATGGGAACACCAAGCTGAACCAAATTACCATCACAAGAGCTAAGGAGATTAGGCGAGTGACCATAGTGCCTACTAGTAGCATAAAAACACGAAAAGATGTATTGAAGAAGGCAGCTGGAGAAACGCAGCTCCTAATGGTCCCATCCTCAGATCTGCCAACAGATGGAGCTTCTGAAACAGCTCTAGGACCAGGGAGAGTCTATTGGACTTTGAGCTAGCATCCCCTGTGGCTGGTCTTGGGCCATGAGTTCACCTAAGCAACAAGCATCCCATAGCATGGGGGCCTTGGTCCTACCTCAGTGTTATGCTGGTCTTGATGGGCTGTGGGCACAGGGGTGAAACAACTTGGTGGTCCTGGTGGCCACACATGTGACATAGGAGCCTGGAGTTGGTTCATCCAAGGGGTCTCTGCCCAGAGTCAGGCAGACTCCCATAGTGCTTGACCACAGACTGGTTAAATGTGGACAAAGGGCCTACCAGGAAGAGGCTTGAATTCTTCCACAACATTTTTCTTTCAGCCAGATATTTTTTTTATGAATCAAACAAGTCAATGTATTGCAAAGAAAACAGACTCTCATCTCTCCAGACTTTCTTATAAGTGCATGGATTATCCTACATCTTGGCCAACTGTTCAAGTTGCTTCTTGCTTCCTGATAATTCTTGCTGCCTGTTAGAGACGATGAACCACTAATCTCCCCATATTTCATGTCCAACCCATACCTCATGTTCTGCCCTTTTTGTTTACCTGGAAAGCCAAGTCATCTTCATGCCACCCAGGCAAGACAACCAAACCAAAATAAAAACAAAAAACAAAGAAAAACTGACAATGAAGAAAACGCAAACCAAGCCAAACCAACCAAAACGAAAACTGTCTATATAATAGGCCAGTCAGGTGGCCAATGAGATTGGTTGTGGATGAGATATCATGGGATTGACAGGAACACCAGGGAAGAGATTCAGTTTTGCCATAAAATTTCTTCCTAAGGTCTGAGCAATGAAGGCAATCAGAGGAGAGGTTCTTGCCTGACTCAGGTGTCAAGGTCACTCTTCCAGAGTCCTTATGCACTAACAGGTTTGTTTTAGAGCTCCTGCATTTTAATTACCCTTTTCCCCCTTTTAATTCTTTGCCAGGAAGCTCACATTCCTTGAGAAAACAGACTGTGCTTTGTGCATTTATTTATTTTTACTCTGGCATCTAAATAGAGCCAGGCTGCGGGCAAGTGTTTATTGTTGGCTGACCAAAAGTGTAAGGAATGATTACCAAATAAGAGAAAATTCTAGCTTCTTTGGAAACATTTTCCTGTGTGGCAGTTTTCATTAAGCAACGCCTAGCCTTTCTTTTTGTGACTGTTGGCTTAAAAACTTAAATTTTAGTTGGTTATTTGACTCCAGTTTAATACGTGACACTTTCCTTTAAACTCGGAAGAATTTCAGGTAATCAAAACACAGATTGTTAGGGAAAAGGACTGAAGCCAGATGTGGTGGTTGAAAGTAAATTAGTGTAAATAATATTATAAGAACCTGGTTTGGAAAGCCCAGGGGGGGAGAGAGTTCTTCAATGCAGGGGTTATTCATTCCAGAACTGCCAGATGAAGGAGCATGGTGAAATGCAATATTTCTGTGTGAAGATTTCAAAGGGCATCAAAGACAGGTGTGGCTCATGAAAACCAAACAATCCAATTAGGAGCCAACCTTTCAACTTGTTTGTTTCACATTTTTGTTGAATAGAAATCATCTGTCCTTTCTGAGGGACTAACTCCATTACTAAGGATCTGTGGATTGTAATTTGCTTTTTTGAGTCATAAGGAATTTAAAAATTGGAATGTCCACCTGAAAATGCTTTTCTTCCCCTTTCCCTTCAGAGGTAAGTAAGTAGAGGTCATTTTATTTTGCCAGAATGATGCCTGTTTTATGTGTTTTTATCTCATGGTAAGTTTAGCTTCTCCACTGCAATGTTCATATAGGTCATCCTTTCAAAGACTTGAAGAACAGGTGTTACCTGACCAATCATCCAAACAAGATAGAACCAGAACCAGAACCAGGAAGACAGGACTTGAAAGGAAGTGGGAGAGAACTGTATCCCTCTTTGCCATACATCATAATTTTACAGATTGGTGCGTGTGATGGCTTGGATGTGATGTGTCCCCCAAAAGCTTATGTGTGAGACAATGCAAGAACATTCAGAGATGAAATGATCAGGTTATAAGAGCCTTAACCCAATCAGTGAATTACTTCCTAATGGGATTAATTGAGTGGCATTGTAGGCTGGTAGGGTGTGGCAGAGGAGGTGGGAATTGGGGGGGGGGTGTGCCTTTATAGTATATATTTTGTATCTGGCCAGTGGAATCTCTCTCTGCTTCCTGATTGTAATACCCTGAGCCACTTTCCTCTACCACACTCTTCCACCATGATCTTTAGCCTCACCCTGAGCCCAGAGGAATGGAGCCGGCTGTCTGTGGACTGAGACCTCTAAAACTGAGCCCCCAAACAACTTTTCCTCCTCTGCATTTGTCCTGGTCAGGTCTTTTAGTCACAGCAGTGAAAAAGCTCACTAAAACAGCACGTATCTCTAAAGTATGCTGATTTTAATTCTTTTGGTAGATCAAGGAGGTGTATAATTGGATCATTTGTTAATTTTTAGTTTTTTGAACCTCCACACTGATTTCCAAAGTGGCTGTACTAATTTACACTCCCTCCAATAGTGCATAAGAGTTATTTTCCCCTACCCTGTCCCATATCTTCATTAGCACTTATGGTTATTTGTATTCCTGATAATTACCATTCTAACTGGAGACAGAATCTCAATGTAGTTTTGATTTGCATTTCCGTGATGGCTAAGGATGTTGAACATTTCATATGGTTCTTGGCCATTTGCATTTCCTTTAGAAGTGTCCAGTTCCTTTAGGGCCTAAGTTTTTGGCTTTGAAAATTTGACCAGTGGTGTCTTACTGATGTGTCAGTTTTCAGTTGTGAAGCATGCTGAAAATCATTTGTCCTTTGAAGTCTACAGTGAAAGAGCCATCAGATCAATCATCACGAATCACCTCAATGGGTATTTTACTACATGGGAACAAAGAGGATGGAGTCAGCAGGGTCCCTCAACCCACAGCTGACACACAGTGGGTATATCAGCTGCTGAGTCAGTTGTGGAAACTGAAGGTTTAACATCTGCTCTAGCCGCATTGGAGGGACCCCTGGTGGTGGGAGAAAGATGACCTTTGTCTCATGGCAGCCACCCAGGAACTGGGCTTTAAGCTCATATCGTAAATGAAATTATCTTTTAATTCCCTTTAGCAAAGTTTGACAACTGTTTCAGCTTTGTCCCATTTGAGCTAAGGGAAATAAGGAACGAGATCTGGACTTGACACTTTGGCCATAATACTAGAAGAGAAAGGAACCAGTTTGATGACAGTGGTGTTGCCTTTTGAGGTGTCCCCATGAGAAAGTTGAGTCACAGAAAATAAAAATTGGGGCTATGAGGCCCAGCAGTCCTGGTGCATAGAAAACATTCTCCCTTGACAACCTGCAAGATGCCAGGCGTGGTTGTGTAAAGAAAGCTCGTGTTGGCTCCCTCTACAAATGTCCCTTAGCTCTGTGCCATGGTGGGGCTTTTAAGTTCTGTTGCTAAATATTTGGTCTCACAGTGTCTTCACAGAGAAAGCTTCATAGCTGGGCCCTTTTAGGTTGGAGATGTATAGGTCACTTCTAGCTTCTGAGACTTCTAGAATCATCAGGTTTAAAAATAGTTACATAGAAATGAAATAGGACACAAGGAAAAGTCAAATGCTCTTCTAAAGTTTTCTTTCCTTCTGAATAAACACATGCTATTGAAGTGAATATGGCATTTTTTTGTAGTGTCACCATTAATATTAAACAAGGTGAGATTGCAAGTGCTAAAAATTTTATAATCGTTGAAACCTGAGGTCTGCATTGGTCTTGCAGCTTCAGTCAGTATCTTAAACTGAGGGTCTTTACCACCAAGTACCAGGACTGGCATCAGTCGTCAGGCCAATAGCTCTCAGTGATGGCTGGGATGGCATGACCAACCATTCTGGCTTCCTGAGTGGCAGGTTTGATTTTTGATGACATTTCACCCCTTGCATGGGAGGAATTCGCTTTGGTTCTCCAGCTATCAGACCTGTGTTGGCTAAATGTCAGTACAAGATAGCATGTTTAACCTGAGAAAAATTTAGGAATCTGGAAGATCCAGATTCCCAAATTTGACATTTTAAAAAATATGTTCAGATCTTTGGAGCTAGTATGTTTTGTGGCCCCAATGTGTATAGATTAATGACACTGCATCCCCAAATTGTGCCACTCTTTGTATCATAAGTATCAGGTAAAAATATATTTTTTTCTTTATTCTTAATATTTTCTGGAATTCTGTCATTGGGAAATTCTTTCCCCCCAAAAGATGTGCCTTTAAAAGCCTATCTTTTAAAATACCATTCATTTTTGGCAAAAAATCCTGACTACAACCAGGCAAATATTTAAAAATATACAAAAGCACTGTGTCAATTCCTATTTGCACTGCCCATGTTTCTCAGAGCAAACCTACCCTAAGTGCACTTTAGCTCTGAAATTAGACAAATTTGATAAAAATAAAGATGATTCTATTCTTTATGAAATAAGACAAATTATGCTTTGGGAGAATATAATTTTCTATAAAGTATAAAATGTTTTAATATTTATGTCTTATAATAAAACCATGACATGTTTATAAACACTATCAAGCATTTTTACAACGGGGCCACCACTGACACGGGAAACGCAATAAATATCCACGGACACACTGAGTATGAAATATACATCTTGATTTTATAATCGTGTGTGCTTTATTTTTTACACAAATGGAATGGAAGTGTTGAATATTTACACTTAACAGGAGTGTAAGCTGTGCAGTGTCTCTGTAAACTCCAGCCCAGGCAAGGAGTAATCCCCCCTCCCTCCCCTCCTGTACTACAGCTCAGTGGAGAAACATCCTGTCAGAGAGAAGCACAAAATTGTCATATTCAAAGGATCTAACAGGTACAACCTGGTGCACTCAAAAGTTAAGACACACTTAGAAAACACAAATTCAAAAGGGAGAGAAGAAAAGTTTGCCATCCATTGGGAGTCAACCTTCCCACTTGGTTTGTCTGTTCTCAGGAATTGCTAGGGAGATACTGTACTCTACTCTTTTAGCTCATTTTGTCTAAACTGTCCTCCTGTCTTAGCTTGTCCTCAGCTGCTACAAGAAACTGCACAGCTGTACAAGAAATGATTTCCAAAGCACAGGTTTCAGTGAGGAAGGATATTTACAGACTGGAGTGTGTGTGTGAGTTTCCAACCACATTCATTCATACCTAATGTAATATGTGTATACATGATATGCATATCACATAGACCATACATACACATAAGTAAAAGGTATATCCACAGAGTTCTGTAGGGAGTCTCCTGGAAAATTGGTTGTCACAGGAGCTACTCCACATGCTTTAAGGGAGTTGATCCTTTTTTTTTTTTCCCTAGAAGTGACAAATTCGTATGATAAATTTAAGAACTAGCCTGAGTCCTTGGCTTAATTTTTTTTTTTTTTGTAGGAATTTTAGGCAGGACCAAGACAGGAAAGAAAAAGTTGTCATTTTACCAGCAAGTCCATTCAATCTCACCGGAGCAATCACCAGCTGAAAAGCAGAGGGGGCTTCACATGAAAATGGGAAAAAGAAAGTAGGAGGAAAAAATCATCTCTCTCCAAACCAAGGCGATGACATGGCTTCAATGAGAAGGAAGAGGTTTGCTGTCAGAATAATTGTTGGGGCCAGAGTCTGCCTTTATGAAAGGAAGTGTCCTCAGAGACTCGGGGTGGTCTTGGGAGTGAGCTCGTGTAGGACTAGGGTTCAGGCAGAGGTACCCAGGCGCTGGCAGGGCCCACAGCACATGCATCATCGCTGCCAGGGCAGCGGTGCAGGCTGGCTCTGGGAGGCACGCTGGAGTTGGCTCCAGGTCAGGGCCTCACACTCAGCTTTGCTTTCTGGGCTGAGTAGGAAAAATGGTGACCCCAAGTATATGTGTCATTAGTCCAGTGTATGGACTTGCTGTCTGAAGCAGCCATAAGCCCTTTATAGGACAGAAAAGTTAAGGAAGAGGGTGTAGGAGAAGAGTTAATCAGAGATGTGATGAGAGGAGAGGACAGGAAAGGTATAAAAAGGGCATTGAGAGAGAGACTAAAGGAGAGGTGGACAAAGAACAGGGAGGGAGTGAAGGAGGGTTATAGGACAAGATCAGTGGCTTCAAGAAGCCAGGAAAAAACAAAGAGGGATGGGATGAGATAGGAAGAGGTGAGCACTGGGAAAGAATGAGGAAAGGGAAAATAAAAAGCAAGAACCAGAGATGCAGAAAGCTTTCCCTTGGCTCAGCGTCCAGAAGGGCTGGCAGTAGGATCTAAGACAGCTCACAGAGGCACCCGAGTGCAGCTTTGTAAAGATGGGCTTGCTAAGCAGATAGAGCCAATCCAAGAATTTGGGGCTGGGAGAAAGGCCTGAAAATAAATGGCCAAGAAATCCTGCAGGAGGAAAGCAAAAAAAACCCAAATGCCCCAGCAATTGGCTGACAAATGGGATTTTGATTTTGGTAGAGCTGAGACCCCCGTGGTGCTACACATTGTACCAGAGCATGAAAAATAGCACCAGTGACACGATCTGGCACTTTTCTGAAAGGGCCCAGCATATGAAGGTGACATTGCGCCCCCAGCAAGCCTTCAGATTGGAGAGAGCTCCGGACAAAGTTTGCAATGTTAGCACCAGTCTGGCCCCAGGCTCCAAGTGCATTTGCACCAGATGTAATCTGGGTACCTTTCATTTCATTTCCATTCAAGTCATTAGATTTGCTGCAAAATACACCAGTTCATTGGAGCCATAGAGACCTCAACATTGGGAAGCGCAAGACAACACAACAAATGGAGGTGTAAATTCTATAGGAAAAGACCCTCTCACCAATTCGCTTGGTGATTTTTCAAGCAAATATATATGTATATCTATATTTATATAAATCTACATAAAAAATCAGTGCAAATGCCAATTCTAATCTGGAAGCATCTACACTAGGAAAATAAATATATTACTACAAAACCAAGGGTTGGTGGTTCAATTTGATTGTACTCAGCCACAGCAATACTATTAAATGGAAAGCACATCACACGACCCAAGAAAACATCTACTCATTAATGACAGTCCTCTAAATAAATGGTTGCATGCTCAGTTGAGAAACCAAAGAAGTTATCATGGTGGCCTAAAAATAGAGCTGGGATCAGGAATGGCATTCTGGTGGCAGAAAACTTTTGGGAGCAATAATGATGAAAGTTGGCCTTGACCTGAAACTGGAGAGTTGCAGATATGAACACATCTTTAACATTTTGAGCACTCTAAGGATGTCTCTGGAAATTTAACTTTCAACAGAGGGAAAATGCATTGCTAGCCCTTCCATTGGCAAAGGCAGCCTCTATAGGTAGATGCATAATTTTGCATTTTTGTGTTTGTTTTGGTGACTGCAGCCTGGCAGACAATGGCATTTAGTGTAAGATGAACAACCCTTGTTTTTGGAAAGAGACTCTCATTTTTGAGCTCCAGTGTTCTTACTGTGAAGAAGCCCCATCACTCTGATGACTCTATCTTTTGCTCTCCCACCCCAGCCTACATGCTGGTTTGCTGCACAGTGTGGCAGAATCCCTGCCAGGTCTTGATGTACCCCAGAAATAAGGCGATGGGGCTTAATCTGGGCATGCACAGAACCCAGAGTTGAGTGGTTATTAATATCACTGAAAAGTCTCTCTCTAAATACCTTAGGCAAAACCAACGCTGATGTCACCATCAGCTCTAAAGTGGGAAACAAACTCTTCTGTTTCAGTTTATAGGCTTTGGGAGGTTTCTTTTTTAAAATCATCATTATAATTATTAAAAAATAAACTTGGTCCAGGTGCATCCCCAAGGAAGGCAGTTCAATTGGTTGAGCTCAAAGTCATAATTGTCTTTCCTTGTGGTTCTCTTTGTCCTATATACTGAAACAAAAAAGCCTGAACCCCTCACCCCTCCAACCAGACACTTACTTCTCTCTTCCTCAAAGAAATAGTGCATATTGGGACAGATCTCCCCATGGTTCTAACACCAACTCTGGCTGTTACAAAACTCTAAATTACTCTGTGCAACAACAACAAAAAAAAGAATAATTCTAATTACTCATGGCTGGCCAGAATATTAAATGGTCCTTTAAGTAACCAAGTAAGCAAGTAACTAGGAACAAAGTTATTCAACTATTTGCATGGTGGGCCCAGGTTATTTAACTAGAGAAAAGCAAGAATTCCCTTTAGATCATTTGCTTGAGTTTTTCCTCTGAAAAGCCATCAGTTAAAAAGTATATTAACCAAATATCTTCTAAAAATATCCATAAGGGCAACTCATTAAGGGATGTGCTCCATAAGAGTGTATCACTAGTGTGCAAGGGAGATCATGGGAGGTAAGTGAGGGAGAAGTCAGACTTGGAAGGAACTCAGATGCTCTTAATGGATCATTGGCAACAAAAGGGAGAGTGCAACTTCCAGTTCTTGAATTTGATCATCTGCTGATAATGCATACATTTAGTCTTTCAATTAATTAGTCTTTACAAAATATTTCACAAAACTTTTTTAACCTATAGAAATTCGTTTCTATACATTTAATATATTTTATTGTATAAATTATTCTCATCTGTAGTGCCTTCTTTCAGTTTATAAATGGCAAAATAGACAATCAACAATCATAAAGCTAATCCCAGGTGGAATCCCCTCCTCTCATAAGGTTAGTCCTCCATACACTTGTGAATTTTATGAAATGCTTGTCTTTGCAGATGCCAGTCAAGAAAACTATACAATTATCCTTCCCTGATAGTATGTCGTCTCCAGAGGGACTCCTTTCTTTTATTCCTTCTTTATTTCCTTTGCTTGTTAAGAAATCAAAGGATGTGCATAGTTATAAAACTCGAAGAATACCAATTACAGATGTGGGAAATGGGAAGATTGGTGAGGTTCAAGTGCTGGCAACTTTTCTTTAAAGCAAAAAAACACAGAGAGCTCAGCAGCTAAATCAGCTCTGGACATCTGCTGGGGTGAGGAGGCTGCCCATCTCTTGGGCAGAAAGCCTGTCAGAGGTTCATCCCTACACCTGGTACTTTGAGCAAACCAAAGCCTTCCTGCATTCTGCAGTGTCCTTTCTGTCCCACCCTTTGGCCCCTCCGTTTCCTTCATGGCTTCACACAGTTTGTGTTGTACATTCATAAGAATTCACATTGACTGCAAAAACATAAATGCAACAAAAACATAAAAGCCTCCAAGTAGTATATTATATATATTTTGTTCTTCTAAATGCTCTTCTGTCATCAGAGGCGCAGTAGCTAATTTATAACTTTTCCTTTGAGGGAATCCAGATGAAAGGCCCAGATTGCTCTTCAATTACAAGCTTGCATTGGTTATATATATCTTCTAAGGTGTCTCCTTGGACAATAGCTGTAACAAAAGTAAACATGCCCAAAGTTAGAAATCAGCCCCTGGTGGTGAAGACCAATCATTACTTAAACAACAGAAACTCATATCAGTGACAGACAAGTCAGCAGGAAGCTTAAAGGTCACTTTTCATAAGTAAGACAAAGCAGAAGATTAACATAAGCAGGGTCCATTAATGATTTATAAAATGCTTTCAATGCATGTATTCAATGCATCAGAGTTTTTGCACCGGCAGCATCTCTGTTTGTAGGTCTGGACAGTGAATCATTCATTTATTTAACAGATATTTTATGGATGCCTACTCTGAGCTAGCCACTGAATTGAGACATTGATCAATTTTCAGATTGAGAGCTCCCTGTTTAGCAAGGAGAGCTGCTGGCCTTAGAGTCTCTCTATTTTACTTACTTTGGCAGAGACAGAAATCCAGGCATTTTAGACACAGAGGAAATAATAAGGGTATGGGAGGAACTGTAGTTAACTTCTCTGGCCCTCAAAATACTTAACAGGAAACCCCATTTATTCTCTGATTAATCTGATAAAATGAGATGTTTACCAGTTAAGGCCACTATTTACAAGAAACACACAAGAGGAAACATATACTGCTAAAACTATGAATTACCTAAAACATCAAGTCACTCAGAGCAGTTTTAAGCACATTTTATTATGTCCTTTGAACAAAAACTATTTTCTATTTAGATCTCCAAAACATCTGAACTATCCATATGACACTGGGGCTTAAATATAAATTGGTACTGAAATATGACTTCAGTCTTCAAAAACAACCCTCAGAACTTAGTAATTACAATATTTTATTCCTGAATATAAACCAATGATCAGAATGTACATTGCTTGACTTGATTTCCCTATTTGGATGTTCTTTCAGGAAGAAACATGACTTACAGTTTAGTTACTGACAGAAACTTTACTTAATATTATGCAATCAAAAATATTTGCAAACTGCTGTGCCACTGGCACTTTCCACATTCTGAATAAGACAAAAAAATAAAATAAAATAAAACATCTAATCCCATACCATGTAATTGAGGAGGAAAATTCTTGTTTTTAAACCGCTGAGAATTACTTGTTAGGCCAATTGCAGTTTGATTACTGTCTGGGTTTAATCAGTGTTTCATGAAAGTACATAAGAATAGAGAACTAAGGATATCCAGAAGAAGAAATTCTTCCTCTATTCCCAAACTCCATGTTTCCAAAGAAATAATTAAGAAGAAGAAAAAAAGTTTTGCACTGAGACTTGACACAGAATTAGCTAAAACACAGGGCAGGGTTTTGAGCATGTTGTTCAAGTGCTGCTGATGGGGAGACAGAGCCACAGGTCATGAGGGCAGAGAATGAAGGACTCTGAGACTGCTTCTCAAGAATGACTGCTTTGGACACTGCCCAGTTTGGCCCCTGCCCAGTTTTGTCCCAAGAGTTTTTTTCCCCCAAATTTCAGATGCCATTAGGAAGATAGTTTAATGAGGTATCAATGCCTCAAGTCTCCTTAATAGGAGGAGATAGTTCAGGGGCATCTGCCACTCAAGGTTTTGGTTAGGGCCGGGGGGAAGCTGGGAGCTGGCTGCTGGTGATCTCAGAGGAGGGAGAATCCAGAATCCTGAATCAAATGGGTGAAGCAGAGAGTGCCTTTCTATGTATAAATTAGTTATTAGAGATGCTCAACAGGATGGTTTTAGGGCCCAGGTTCACCAGGCCTGGAACCCTCTCTATGCAAAATGTCAGACAATTTATCTCCTTCCTCACAGTACCAGGATGAGGGGAACTTACCTGTAAAATATTCTCCAAATTCTTGTTCTAGCTTAATTGCTCGATCATAGGTTTTCTTGGCTTGCTCCTCTGTCAGACGCTTATTCATCTCCCTGGTAAATGAGGGTTTGAAATTAGGACACAAAGAGAATAAACCAAGTTTCCAAAAATTAAAATGTATGGCAAGAAAGAAGCCTACAGGAAGCATAGTTCAATCTTAGCAGTAGCTTCCTAGACTTCCTCTGACACTCCTCTTTGCTGGACTCATTTCAGCCACAAGGGCTCCTGGCCAAGGATCCACTCTCTGGAGGGAAGTCTTTTGGCTCTGCAAAAGACTGAAGTGGAGTCCTGAGGTAGAAGGCTTTGCGGTCACTGGTTGCTCTTCTGTATCCTGAAGTCCTCTATCCTGGGGTTAAATTTTCTCCTTGTCAGGTTTTAGAGGATTTAAATAAAGTGCTCATTGGTCTCTTGAGGCTTCCTCATCTTCCTTCAGAGTATACTGTCCTACTTCATCTAGACCCTCATTGGATATGATTTTTAAACCCAAACTTCCCTGGTCACACTTTGTTGGCCTTCGCTCCAGTATACCTCAGTCTTTCTAAAATGTGGGACATAGAATGAAAGGAACTTTTTCAAGGGTGGTCAGAGTTGGGAGAGGTGGAGGGCAGAAAAATGTGTTTTTGCCTCTGGCCCTCCTCACCACTGAGAGAAATCAATTTGATTGTTCTTGGGTCCCGACTTTCCAAAAGGCTTTGATTTCTTGCCTTCCACATCCCCCTTAAGGGCTGCTGTTCATTCGAAAATGTGGAGTGAGAAACATGGTACTTCCAAAGAATTATAGAAAATAGGGAAGACCCCATAGGTATCTGTATCTCTCAGGGCAAAAGGGTGTCTGCAGCTCTCACTACTCAATTTCTGCAAATGTCAAGTTATGTCTATAGCAATAAGAGCCCTGAATGTCCTGTTTTTATGAATTGAAATAGACACAGAAGGGAACAAGTCAAAAGTCCTAGGACCAAAATATTTTCAAATAGATTATAATCAAGTAATTTAGTCAAATAGAGGATAGGATAGAGGAACTTGGTATAATAGAATCTGTAGTATGATTAATGGGTACAAGGTACAGTTGGATGTAAGGAATAACTTCTAGTGTTCTGTAGCACAGTAGGATAAATGTGGTTGACAACAATTAATTGACTATTTCAAAATAGCAGAGAGGATTTTAAATGTTTCACATTATTAACACAAAGAAATGATGTGTGTGGTGATAGATATGCCTATTACCCTAATCTGATCATTGCACATCGTCTTCATGTGTTGAAATATTGCACCATAAATATGTACAATTACTATGTGCCAATTAAAATATTTTTCAAACAAAATAATGAGAAGAAACTTTGAGGCCTACTTTATCTCCGTTCTGGCAGAATGGGCTATAAAGGAATTATGCCTAGGATTACCTATCTTTTTCTTTCTGTTTGCCAACAACGGACTTATCATTAACTGTATGCAAATGTTGCTTAATAATTGTAAGACTATTAAACCTAATATAGTCTCAAGGACAAGTCAAGGTTAGAAGTGGGAGACTCTCTACTTTTCTCTAAAATCTAATTCGCTGATTCCTAATCAGTGGTAGCTTTTCTTAGAATGTCCTCCAGGCATTAAAAAGTCCAGTCAAATGCAAAGCCATTTCCCCAGATGCGTGTACAATTTTTGAAAGCATCACTGCCTTGCACGCCACTTAGGAAGACAGAGAGCCAGGTCTAGAACTCCTGGTCTTAGTGAATCCTTTCTGTAGTATGAGCTAAGAAGACTTGAAGCAGTCCTGGCACTCCTCCAAGGTTGTGCATTTAATAAAGAACAATTTGCAGTAAGAACTTAAGCTTTATTTTTTTAAATTATAGTCAAACAGACTTTACATCTCAAACAGACTTGATATCTTTCAAAAGAGGCCGATGTGTAAAATAAAAAAAACCCCTGAAGTTAGATATTAATATGGTTTTAGACATATCTGAAGGCTGAAATGTAAAGCAGAAATTTCCTGAATTCTTGTTTCTGAAGTAAACTTATTTTGTTCCAAAATGTCTGTACTCCAGAAGCTGGATATGTCACTCTGGAGTGCAAAAGATGTTGGACTAAACCAAGGGATACTCTTTAGAGAAAGAAGGTGATTTTTCTTTTTCTTTTTTTTTTTTTTTGAGGGTTCTCAACTCTGATTTTATTTGATTTTTTTATTGGTTGCTCAAAACATTACAATGATCTTGACATATCATATATCATACATTTGATTCAAATGGGGTATGCTTTTTCCCAGTAAACAAGTCATGTAGCTCTGGATCTTCTTTAACTTGCTTGGTCTGTGGTAGTCTTTTCTTTTTTTTTCTTTCTTTCTGAATCTGATTTGAATTTATTTAGGTAATAGCTTAATTTATATCACTGTCCTCTAATATATGAATTAATTTTGTCTCTGTCTAAGCTGCAAGTTCTTTGTTCTTTAGCATGTGGAATCAACCCTGATTCAGTACTTATTTGTTGAATGGATAAGTGAATGAATGAATAAATGGGGACCGGTAAACATAATTATGGCATAGATATAGGCAGAAGTAAACACAGGACATCATGGGGGCAAGACAGGAATAGGAGATTGGAGGTGGCAGGGTGATTGATAAGACCTGGGAAAGCATCTCATTGCTTTGTGGTAGGGGCACAAATTATGGCAGTATGATATAAAAAGAACATCTCTTTGATACATGCCCTTGATTTTATCTCTGCTGAAGTCAGCTATGTATGTGCTAATAAGTTCTGTGGTTTGATGCGGATGATGCACTTGAGAAATAATGTGTGTGATGATGTATCAATGCCTAAATGTGACAGCTGCCATGTTTTTGTTCTGGCTGACCTGGCACTCACTCCTTTCTGGGCAATGGGCAATTCATGCTAGCTTTGCTCCTGAAGTAAAAGCCTCAGAAAAGAGTGAACCGTAAACATTCAGCATTGAGTAATGAGATCACATTGGTCTGACCAGCATCACCACTGCACTCATTCCTATGAATATGGCTGCAGCACATTATGTCAGATTCACTGTCCTCATTGTGGAATCCAGCCCTCAGTATGTTTAATTTTCCCTGGTGATAAGTGGCTGTGACAGTGCCCTAAGGCAAAACTAAATAAGTCATCTGATAGTTGTGGAAGGAAGTAGTCCTACCCAGCACCAGATGGGACTCACTCCCAGCATCGCGCTGAACCCAATGTGCCACTGCTGTTGCTCCCTCAGGCCTCCTTCCCTAGGAAGCCATTTATCTCATTGTGTGTTTATGAGAAGACTTATTTTTCTTTTCTGAAATAGAACTTTAAGTTGTTTTTCTCAAGAGGTGAGGGCCATTTTTCTACTCTTCTTATTAACTTTAGTGTTACTTAAAATATTTGTGAGGCTCTTTACAGATTATGAAATCTGTGGTTGCTTAACTCTGCAATGCCCAACACAGTATCCTGCTAAAGGGGAAATTTGACACATGTTATTAGGGAAATAATATTAAGAACCACTGTTCAATCTTTAATACATACCTTTCCAAGTACCAACTATAGTTAAAGTTCTTCAGCATAATTTAATACCTAAATTCAAGGGGCTGGCCGTCGCTGACAATGACCTCACAATTTTATTTCCGAATCCTGGTAAAAACCCTTTGTCTATCTTTTATTCATGTGTCTATATTCTGCTTTTCAGATGCATTCCTGGCAATTTCTCCAGAGGCCAAGTATATATCTAACTTATATTTGTCATTTTAGCTACTGCAGTGTGCTTTGGCTCTTCATCCTCAGAGAAGACCAGAACAGTTAGCTGATATCATTGGCAAATAACTGCTTTCACCTCTGGGATTAAATAATTTCCGTGTCTTCAGTTTTTTCCATGAACATTGTTTTCAAGTATATACCCTGTGGTTCAACACCCTCTTGAGGCCCAAATAGAGGCAGTGTTTGAGCAAAGGATCTTGTAACAGACAAACCGGAATTATCTCTTGCATTCTGACAAAAGATACTTTATACATTTTATGATAAAATTACATTAATCTTTCATAATACAGCAACTTTCTATCTTTGATAATAACTACTAAATTTATTGAGCACTTAGTATATACCAAAGACTGTACACAGAGCTTTAAATTCATGACCTTGTGGCTTAACCTTTACACTAGTCCTATCAGGTATTTATTAAAGTCTAGTTTAAAGATGAAGATTAAATCTTAGGGAGATACAGTAATTTGCCCAAGGTTATATAACTGACCACTGACAAAGCAAAGAACCAAATTCAGCCTGACCAGCGTTCAAGGCCCTGCTGTGTTCTCTTTGCTCTGACATCATTACCTCCAAAAAGCTTCACTTCTGTATGGAAGTTGCCTATGGTGATTTTATAGTTACAGCATAAATATTGCCCAGTCTGATTACTCGTTTTCGAAGGAAGGAATTTTATACGCATTTTGGAAAAAATTTGAGTCATACATTATCTGGTTAAGTTATAGACCTTTACTGTCATGTCACTAAGAAAACTTTTCTATGCATATGAAGTTTCTAACATCAGAATTCTTTTATAAGACAGTGTAAAACACCAATGGAAAAAGTTTAAATGTTGCCTGCTCCCTCTACAAAAAATGCAGACATTTAAAAAGATTTACCTATGAATCTGCACTCAGAAGTAAGAGGCAGCTCAAAGATGATCCTCTCCTATCATTTTGAAAACTAACCAAACAAAATCCTTAAAAAATAGCAAAATGGCATTTCCCATTTGTAATTATTTGTTAAAAAGAGGTATTAACAGTTTGCTGTGCAATACAGAACAGGGAGTTAGTTGCATGAGGTACTCCAGAGCCCTCTACTTACATTAGAGGTTCCAGAGACTTGGGCTTTATGAAGATGGCAATAGGATAGAGCTGGGCAACTTGTAATCGCTTGATAGCGTTTCCTGATACGTCAAGGATACAGTGTTTGCCCTGGTAGAAAGAAGAAAAATAAGGAGTGAATTCTGAAAAAGTGGTCATAATCCAACAAAATGAAAATAATGCATGTGTGTTTTAGAAGAAGGTATGGGATGCAATAGGTAAAAAAAGAAAAAAGATTGCTAGAAAGAGTACATGAAAGTTGATATATAGGGTAACCACTGAATGCTTGTGATAATTAATATTCATTAACCCCTTTACTAAGTGTCCACCACTGAACTAGATATTTTACATGTATTCTCAGTGAACTTTATTTTCTTCCACAAATACAGAATGCACTGCACAAAGAAGATGTGTAATAATATGTTAGGTAATTAAGTCCATTCCCATGAAGCTTATAAAACATCCCTGAAAAACAATTATCAAGAAATCCTCATCTATGAGATAGCAACTGTATTTTACGGAAGAGAAGATGAAGACAGAACTTTCAACTTGCCAAAAAGTTCAGTGCTAGGAGGACTCAAACTCAAGCCTTAAGTACTGATAGAATCATTGATTGGAATAGACACTTCATTGTCATACCCTGACCAATGTTAAATTTGGAAGAATGGTGATCACTTGAATTTAGAACAATTCCCTAAACATTTGCTAAGTGCTTACATGTATCCAGTCCTTAATATGTTCAGTTTAGAGAGAACCGACAAAAAAGTTACCTTAAAAGTTATATGGTTAAATGATGAAAGAGTATCTAACAGAGGGTATAAAAATTTCTAGTTTGTTAACAAAAACCTGATGACATTATAGCACACCTCATTTAACATGGATTTCACTGTAATGAGTACTCTGAGCAAGGAACTGCTTTATTAAGTATTTCTGGAAAAGTAGATGTAAATTTGCCATTTAATATTCTACCTCCTAGGAAGAAATGGCCTTATTACCCCAAGGCTAGAAGAACTTTATACAAGCAGAGAAAAAAATCATGTTATAAAAATTGGGACAGTCCTAGATCAATAATAGGAGATAAAAACAATTTACAATATCCATGTGAAAATAAACAGAGTTCAGGTATTCACTGGACTTTATTACGTAAGCAATAAATTCCAATTTTGCTATTTGTGAAGTGCAACAGTAATATAAAAGGTATAAATGCTGTTTGATTACTCACTGAACAGCACATTTAAAGTTAAAGGTGGTATCTACACGTTCAAAGAGGAAAACAGTTGCAATTTTCTAGACACTGATGAGAACCAGTATCCATATAATGCTGATAGAACCTAGCCTTTTCAGAGAGGAAAATAGACTCATCTTTTTTGTATATTTCCCTTTTACTAACATAAATTAATTAAACATATTAAAGAAATTTAGTGTGATATTTCCATACATGCCTACATAGTGCACTGATCAAATAAATCAAACTACCATTACCCACCCTCCACCAACCCCATGTCCTTCTTTGTACCTAGTAATCAGTATCTTACTTTCAGGTTAACTTATTTTTAGCTTCCACATGAGAGAGAGAGAGAGAGAGAACATGAAGTAATTGTTTTTTGGTATCTGTCCTCTTTCCTCTTCTTCTATTTATTTTGCTGCAAATAACAGGAGATCATTCTTCCTTATGGCTTAATAATACTTCATATATACATTTTCAATATCTGTTCAACTGTTGATGGGCACCTATGTTCATTTTGTATATTAGCTATTGTGAATAGGTTCCCCTATAAACATGGTCATGCAGATTTCATTTTCTTTGGATATATACCAGAAGTGAGCTACTGCCTCAACAGTATGGAGGTTCCTCAAAAAACTTAAACAATGTATTAGTGTTCCTTTTTCTCCATGTTCTCAGCAGTATTTGTTACATTTTATTCTTTGATGATAGCCAAACCTGCTTATATTATGGTGCCTGTGAAGCAGAAAGAAAGCAAGGGAAGGGGTCAGGACCAAATATACCTTTCCAGGGCATACACCCAGTGACCTACGTCAACCAACTAGGTCCCACCTCCTACAGTTTGTACCACCTCTCAGTAATGCCATCAAATTATGAGACTATCAGTGGATTAAAACACTGAAGAGAAGAGAGCCTATGGGATCTAATTATTTCCCCAAAGCCCTACTTCTATTTAACATTACTGCAAAGCCTATAACACATGGGCCTTTGTGGGACTTTGTAGATCCAAAGCATAATACCTATTTTTTAAAACAAATCAGAGCATTTTGTTTTAGTTTTTTACTTATTTCAAATATTAACCCTGGTCACATTGAATAGTTGGTGGATATTTTCTCCCATTCTATAGGTTATTCCTCCACTCTTTTTTGTGATGCTGGGGATTGAACCTAGGACCTTGTTCATGTGAGGCAAGCACTCTACCAATTGAGCTACATCCCCAGCTCTATTTGTTCATTCTTGATTGTTTCCTTTGCTGTGCAGTAGGTTTTAGTTTGATTTAATTCTATTTGCCAATTTTTGCTTTGGTTTCCTGTGCTTTTGAGGGCCTATCCAGAAAATCATTGCCTGTACCAGTGTCTTGACGTGCTTACTTTTAGTGGTTTAAGTTTCAGATCTTAGATTTAAACCTTTATCTATCTTGAGTTTGTTTTTGTATATGGTGACAGTTTCAGTATTTTGCACATGGATATCCAGTTTTCCAAGCACCATTTATTGAAGAGGCTGTTCCTGCCTCAGCCTTTCAAGTTGCTGAGACTATCGGCATGCACCCACATATTCAACTTGATTTGCTAGTTTTTTTGTTGAGAATTTTTGCAACTATGATTCATCAGGAATATTGTAATTTTCTTTTTCTTTTGTATCCTTGTCTGTTTTTTGCAACAGGGTAATTCTGACCTCATCTGAGTGTGGAAAGTTTCCCTCTCAAGTCTATGGAATAGATTAAGAAGAATTGGCATTTGTTATTTAAATTTTGGTAAAATTTAACAGTGAAGCCCGTGAAGTCCTGGCTTTCCTTTGTATAAGGGAAGGCTTTCCTTTGAACCAATTCTATATAATTACTGGATTTATTCAGGATTTTATATGCTCATGGTTCAATTTTGATATACCACGTATATCCAGAAATTTATCCATATCTTCTGGGGTTTTTAATTTGTTAGCATATGGTTTTTCATAATAATCCTTAATGATCATCTGTATTTCTCTGGTATTGGTTATAATGTTTTCTTTTCCATTTCTGCTTTTATTTATTTGGCCCTTCTCTCTTTTTTTCCTAGGTTAATTCAGCTAACATTTTGTAAATGTTATTTATATTTTCAAAAAACCAATTCTATTTTATTGAACTTTTGTATTTTTTATAGTCTCTGTGTCATTTATTTCCCCACTGATCTTTTTTATTTCTTTCTCTCTATTAATTTTGGATTTTGTTTATTCTTGCTCTTCTAAGTCCTATATCTAAGAGATATAGCGTTAGGTTGCTTACTTGAAATTTTAGTTTATATTTTTAAAATATAGATATTCATTGCTAGGAACTTCCTACTTAGTACTACTTTAGTTGCATCCCACAAGTTTTGGTATGCTGTATTTCCATTTTTACTTGTTTTGAGTAATTAAAAAAAATTCCTTTCTTCCTTTCTCAATGACTCACTGTTCAAATCTGTGTTGTTCAGTTTCTATATATTTATGTAATTTCTAAAATTTCTTTTGTAGATGATTTCCAGTTTTATTCCATTATAATCAGAAAAGATATAGGGTATGATTTAAATTTTCTTGAATCTGTTAAGACTTGTTTTGTGCCATATATGGTGGATTCTAGAGAAGTTTCAACGGGCTGATAAAAAGAATGTCTATTCTACATTGTTGAATAGAAATGTTCTTTAAATTATGTTTTGTCTTTTTGATTTATGGTGTACTTTAAGTCTGTTTCTTTGATGTTTTGTCTGGATGTACATTGGAAATAGAAGGGTGTTGGAATCCCTCACTATTATTGTTTTAGATCCTTTCTCTTCGTTTAGGTTTAATAATGTTTGTCTTATAAAGTTGGGTTCTCTGAAATTAGATGCATATAGATTTATAATCATAATTTCTTCATAAATTTATCTCTTAATCATTATGAAGTGCCCTTCTTTATCTCTTCTTAGTTTTTTCTTTAAGTCTATTTTGCTGGAAATATGTGTAACTATTCCTGCTCATTTTAGATTTTCATTGCTTGGAGTACTATTTTCTATCCTTCCATTTTCAGTCTGTGTGTGTCATTACTTATGAAGTCAGTTTCTTATAGGCAACATGTTTTTCTTCTTTTTTTACATTAATTCAACCAATCTGTACTTTTAATTGGAGAATTTAGTTTGTTGCATTTAAGGTTATCATTGGTAGGTAAGGACTTATTCCTATCATTTTAAAAAAAATTTCTTCTAGTTGTTTTGAATAGTCTCTATTCTTTCTTCCTCTCTTGTTCATCTTTGTGGTTTGATGGTTTATTCTATTGATAGTATTGAGTTCTTTTTCACTTCTCTTTTGTGTTTCAACTCTTCTAGTGGGATTTATAACTTTTAGATGCTTTCATGATGGTAGTTATCTTTCTTTCACTTGTGGATGTAGGACTCTCTTACTTATCTTTTGTAAAGTTAATTTGATCATCATGAATTTCCTCAGTTTTTGCTTGTCTTGGCAGGTATTTATTTCTTCTTCATTTCTGAAGGATAGCCTTAGTAGATATGGTGGGTTGGCAGTTATTTTCTTTAAGGACTTAGAATATGTCATTCCATTCCTTCTTGGACTACAGAGTTTCTATTTCTAACAGGAATCTACAGTTAGTATAATACAACTTAAATATAACTTTATGCTTTGTCTTGCAGATTTTAGAATTTTTCTTTGTCTTGTACCCTTGATAGTATAATCATAATATGCTGTGGTAAATATACTTTCTGGTCATGTCTGTTGGGGTCCCATAAGTCTCCTATATATGAGTGTTCATATCTTTCTCCAAATTAGGGAAATTTTCTGTTATTATTTCATTGAATAGGTTTTCTATTATCTTAGCTTTTTTTCCTATGACCTTCACTTTTGAGTAACCTCCCCAATGGAGATGTTTGTACATTTAATGATGCTTGTAGGTCTGTAATACTCTTCTTCTTTTTAATTTTTTTTTTTCTGACTGGAACCTGTCTTCAAATTTAGATATTCTTTCTTCTGCTTGATCTAGTCTGATTTTGAGGCTTTCAATTGTATTTTTTTATTTGATTTGTTGAGCTCTTAATTTCCCAGATTTCTATTTAGTTATTTTTCAGAATGTCTCTTTACTGCATATCTCATTTATATCCTGTGTTGTCTTCCTAATTTCATTTAATGGTTCGTCTATTCTCTTTGATCTCATTGAACATTTTGCAGTCACTCTTTAAAATTCTTTATGAGGCATTTCACTCATTTTGATTTCTTTGCTATCTGTTGCTAGAAAATTATTATGTTCTTTTGGAGGTGTCATATTACCTTGTGCTTTTATATTTGTTTTTTTTTATGGTGAGATTTGTGCATCTATTGTATCAAATTTCTCTACTAATTTTATGGGGTGACCTACTTAGCAGCTTTTTCCTGAAGCTGGATCATGGGGTGTTGGTTTGTTAGGCAATGTTGGCTTTAATTCTAGCTGGGTAGCATAGTGACTCCCCCTATAGCTTCTTTGGCTGTAAATGATGACTTCGTCACAATGTGTACCTTGGGGGAGTCAGAGAGACTCATTATTTCTGCAGGCCACATAAGAATGAAGATACTCCAGTGGTTCAGGCAGTTGTAGTGCAGACAGCAGTGGGTGTGGGGTGTTCACTGTGTGCCTGCTCCTGTGACGGGAGTGGTGGCTCCCATTATGCCACAAGAGTTTCCTCAGGTATTTTTAATGTTAGCTCTGTTACTAGCAAGAGCCCTTGGCACTGGTGGCCCCAGCATGGTGAAAGGCTCAGTACATTTTTCTTACAATTACTCAGTGGTGTGAGAACTGGGGAGAGGCATTGGTGAGAACTGTAGCACCTGCTCTGTGGCACTCAGCCAGTCTGGACAGCACTGTGTGGTCAACCCAGATGCAGTAGCAGGCAGCACTGGAAATGGTGTATGTGTTATGGCAGCAGGAACCCTGGTGTTCTTGTGCTTCAGTGACTGTGCTGCCTGGGGAGTGGGAACTCAACTGGAGCTGAGCGAAGTTCCTCTGGGAACTTGGCCATGCATGCCAATGGGTGGGACAGTAGCTGGGGCTTTTCTACATCCTGAACTCCTTCAGCTGTAGTGCCTGCCCAGGAACAAGTGGGAGTGGGACATGAATGTAGCTAGGTGAAGTTGCTCTTGACCCTCCCCACCTTGCATGTTCAAGGGTAAGGAGATAGCTGATGTAGTAGAGTCACTCAAGAACCCCTCAACATGTCCCTGTGGGCAAGGTAGCAGTGAGAATCATGGTGTTCCCTTCTCACTCTGTCAGAAACAATTGCCTAAATGCTGCACAGAGGGCAGGGATGGAAGAAACCATTTGGGAATCTGCTTTCAGTCCTAGAACTTGCACAAAACCACACACAGATGGATGTGCACTCGGTCTCAGAGAACAGGCCTCCTGATCTCCTGACTGTTGAGGGTGGCACCCTCTATTCCCCTCCATGTCACAATACCTATATATCCTACAGTGCAGGACCCAGTGAGCTTGCGTCAGAGCTGCTGGACCAAGTTGGAGCCAGGGACTGTGTGTACCCTGGCTATGGAACTGGGGGTTGCAGTTGTCAGAGTGTTGTAATTTTCTTTTTATGCTGCTGTCCCAGGTCTCTGAATCTTATAAGGTTCCAATCTCTCTCTTGCTTATTTCCAGTATTCTCCTTCCTTTGCTCACCTTGAAATGCAGCTATATATCTGTTACTTTAATTGTTCTTTGTGGAGAAAGAAGACAAAGTTGGCCACCTCTATTTAGCCATCTTTTCGTCTTAGAAAAATTTGTTTGACTTTTTATTAGTACATCAAAAGGGTGGAAAGCATCACATCAAACCCAACCAACCTGACAAATATTTTCTGACTTTGCTTCTTTGTGTTTATAGGAGATGGCATCTCTGTATAGGCACATTCTAAAGCCCCATTCAAGTATCTTCCTATCCTCTTCTCTCAAACATTCTCCTATTTTCCCTGCTTCTGAAATGGTCAGGAAGAAGGGAATGACAGCACTGACACTTTCTCTAAATTGAAACTTTTCTGATATATCTCCCCCTCCAACATGAAGATAGCAAGTTTTGAGATGGGGGTGGGGGAGAGGGAGAAAAGGAGAAATAGAGAAGTAAATCCTTTGAACACAACTAGGTAACCAAAAGTAACAAAGGTTTTATTTATTATCCTTAAAGGTTTTATTTATTAGGGTCTCAGAGAGTCAAGAATAAACTGAGGCCCCATAAACTTACGGCTGTTAACTAGCTTTATAGATCCTCTGTTCTCTCCCCTTTCCATGTAGTTAGAATACTTTATTGAGATTATAATATAGATTAATGACATTGCTCTAAGGTGATTCTCTCCTTGGAAACCTTAAAAGGAATATTTAATCAAAGTTTTTCAACTGCAATCAGGAAAGAGTAATGATTAAAAATAAAAGACACAGTTTGCCACCTAGATATACTCTTGTGGAGAGTTATAAGGAGATTGGCAAACGTACCCTTTCTGCTACAAATCTCACAGATTGCACACTGGTTCCATATAAATTGTCATTGTACTGGCCAGCTTCTATAAATTTGTGCTCTTGAATATCTTTCTCCATTTGTTCTCTGGAAATGACAAAGTGATAGTCTCTCCCATCCACTTCATAGTCACGCTTCGGCCTTGTAGTATCTTTACAAAATAAGAAATAAAAAAAATTAAGGCACATTTATTTTTATAAGCTTCCTTTCCACCACCTATTTTTCTCTACCATGCCCCCACATAGATACATAAACATATGTAATATGATGAACTATGACATGGTAACAGGTACCAGTCTTAACCTCCTACCACAAAAAATTATAAAACTTAACATGGAACAACTGTTTTCAGGCACCAATTAACGGTGAAGAACTGTAATTTTGAGAGAATAAAAATATATGAGGGAAAGTGTACATTCACTACACCTCTCTACCTAGGGGTCCTTTCCACTTGGAAAGTATAGAGGTCACACAGGGTTAGGAGACACTGGAGTTCAGCCAGAATTGGGCATTTGATTGAAACCCCAGAAAGGCCACATTCTGGAATGCTACCCTAGACTTACTCTAGACCCATATTTACAAAGTCTAAAGCCAAGTTGCAGCTGGAACAAACTGTTTTGGCAGTTGCTTTCCAGAACAAATATATTACATGAAGGAAGATAACAAAATCTGATTCCCAGCAATACACCACTGTAGTGTCTGACACAAAATAAAAATTATGAGATAAGCAAAGAAATAAAGTCATGTAACTAGGAGAAAAACATTGTCATACAGTTATAATGTGTTCAGGGATTTAAAAAATATGTGTAATAAGAGAATCAAAGTACAGGTGGGACGAAAAGTCAGCAAGTCTAACCATTGCACTTACATGTTTTGGAAAGAGGGGAAAGTGATAGATAGCGATATGACTTAAAAAAGTTAAAATATATCTAAAAATATCTAAAGTTTTACTCAGTTATTTTCTAAGAATCTATGTTAAAAGTGATTGAAACTTCAGATACAGTTTTAACCCTAAAGATATTAATTATATTAATTTGTAAATAATGGTTTTATAGTTCAATTATAAATTCAGTGATGAAAAATAGAGAAAACCCAAAGTATCCATAAATGAAGAATGATTAATTATGACATACTAATCATTAAAATAGTTACATAAAATTTTAAATAATGTCAAAAACCCATCTATCATATGAAAAAAACATATGTAATGGAAGAAATAATATATCCGTGATGTTATTTCTGGATGTTATGGGGCATTCTGTGTACTTTTTACTTTCTTGTTTATTTTTTGCATTTTTCAAGTTTTGTACAATGAACATGCACGCTGTGCTATTAATGAAAAAAGTAGCATGTGTGACGTGAAGGGGAAGTGGATGAAGTGCATAAGAACTTTGTTTTATTTCTCTCAAAAAGTGGAAGATCAATGAATCAAAATGCATTCTATGTCACATATACCTAATTCGAGTAAATAAATAAATAAAAAGTAGAAGGTCCAACTGGGAGCTGCTGGAATTAACGGAGGGTTTTATTTGAGCTTTTCCATCTGAAGACTTTATTGGGATATGTTCTGTGGCAAGAACTCTTCCCAAGGCTGGGAACTTCTCTGGGAACTGGCTCAGGAGATGCAGCAATCATCCTAGCTCTCTTCTGCCCATGTAATATACATGAGTCCTGCTATTCTTTAGTACTCTAGGGGAAATTTGCACTATTGAAATGTTAGAGACACTTGAATAATGAGGGAGAAGTATTTGTTGGGATCAGATTTATGAGTTTCCTTATGTAGTAAGCTCAATTTTGCTAGTGAGCTTGTCTGCACAGAAGGTCTCTGTGCATGGGGGTGGGTGGCGAAGTGTGATGGTAGGGGGAAAAGTTATAGCAGACCGAAGCTGACAGAGCTACAGAGGGGCTAGGAGACCCAATGTTTGTCAATTATGACAAAGCAGATTAAAGTCTTCAGAGGTTTTTAGGATAGAATAAAGTCGCAGACATCTTGTTTTTGTTCTCCTAAGACCTGTACTGTCAAAACTCATGGAAAGGCTATTTGATTTTGGGATTAACAAATTGTCCTAGGTCATCCTGAGAAGATTTTAATATATGACTGATTCTGATCTCCCTCATTCTATGGAATAAGATGTTATAGTGGCATTTTAATCAGTCTGTAAGAACATTCTGTGGCCTATCATAAATTCTATGCTGTTTTAAGTGCTAGGGGTTTACAGAGATCCTGCCTACCTTCTATGGGACTACAGTCAGTTTGGAGAGAACATTATCATAAACTTACCAAATAGAGAACAGCACATGGCAGCATAGATGGAAAGTGTTAGGCAGAGAATTGAAAGACAGTGCTCAGATAATGGGTAACTGGTGGTATTTGGAAAACCAGAAACTACCGGAAGAATAATATTATGTATCATAAAGAATCCAAGCTTTTTCCTGTAAAAAAGAGAAATGATACTTACGAGGCACACAGGAGCCAAATTTATCAGGAAATTCAGATATCAAGTCGTCATTGATTCGATCCTTCATGGGGCCCAGGATAATCACTGGCCGGGTATAGTTTACTGCAGATAGGGAAAAGAAGATGCAGATAAGGAGACTGACTTGGAGATCATTGAAAAATTGTCCTGCAAGGGTGATTCTTAAAGTGAAACTGCCAAACAGTAAGAACTGCCAAGGGAATAACGTTGGATCAATTACCCAACATAGGGAAATGAATGTTTACTCCTCAGGATGTTGACTGTGCCTACTGTCTGGGACTTACCCCCCCCCCAAAAAAAAAAAAAAAGCAACTGAAGGGACTGTCAATAGGGGCTGGGGTTGTGGCTCAGCGTTGGAGCGCTTGCCTCGCACGTGTGAGGCACTGGGTTCAATCCTCAGCACCACATAAAAATAAATAAAATAAAGGTATTGTGACCATCTACAACTAGAAAAATGTTAAAAAAAAGAAAAGCATTTGGAAGAGTTTTGCTTATTCTTCATTTATGCCTACACAATGTCAAAACACTTGGGTTTAGTCAGTTTAGTGGGAGAAAGAAAGAATTCAAACCAGCTGTTTGGCCATTGTTTGAAAGCAATTGTTAGTAGTAATGACACTTTATGTTTTTATAATTTCTTTCTCTCAGCTCAAAATACTCTCTGTGCTCTGCTGGGGTTTTCCTAATTCCTTTGTATCTGGGATTAAAAGGATCTCTAAAGTTCATTTGGCAACTCTGCCCATCTGATGCTTGAATTTTCTCTGCAACATCCTTGTCGATAGCCATCAGCTTCTGTATAAATGGCTTCCAGAAAAATTAAGTCAGTTTCCCTGGGCAGCCTTCAGATAGCTCTATCTTAGGTCTGCTAGAATGTTCTCAGTACTGGGCTAACACAAGCTTCCTGGGAGGATTTAGCCTTCAGGTCTCTGGCTAGGGCTCTCTAGCCAGACACTTGGATATGCTCCTTCCCACTAAGGGCCACTCATTTGAAGGGCTGCTCCATCCTCTTGGGAGCTGGTATTGGTCATGTTTCGCAGGGAAGTTGTTGTATGGTGATAGGGCCAAGGAAAGACAGTAGTTTAGGGGCAACTGAGTTTTTAAGCCGAGTGTATTTTCCTTAGCCGTCACTGTTTCCCTCCTTCAATTGTATCACCTGTTATGGCCTGGAAATCAGGAACCCGAGAATGCTGGGAAACTTACTTTCCTGCCTTGTGACAGGCTCATAGGAAAGAATGAGGTCTTCTTGCCCTCCTGAGAAGAAAAGAGAGGAAAATTACAGTCGACTAACAACCAGTAATTCACCAGAGCTAAAATCCCTGCTCTGAAACATAGGAAGCAGACACAGTTCAGGGTTAATTTTCCTTGCTCTCTCTCCCTGAACCATCCAAAAATTTCCTTCATCCTCATAGAATTCTTTAGCACTGTCTTAGTGTTAGGTTATCTCACAGTCATAACTCTACATAAAAACTAGCTGTGGTTCTCAGCAACAGGGTAAGGATCTGTGAGACTGCTCTCTGTCTTATGTTTCTAATGGAGTGCCATGTCACTACACCAAGCGTGACCACCTAAATTAAAGCCATTTAGTTGAAGGAAAGGGTCTATCCATCAGTTCATTGCTACCTCTTCTAAATTTTTCTTTTATTACATCTTATATTTTTGAACATTGTTTAAAAGCAAATGTCTGTTTATTTCATTTATGATGTAAAATTTCATTAGAAAATTATAAGACACTAAAGATTTTTTTCCTTAATATTAAATCATCAGGAGAATGTTGTGGGCCAATTAAAGAAGGTTAAAAATTGAGAGGAGGCCGGAAGTGAAGTTCAGTGTTGGAGTGTGTGCTTAGCTTGTGTGAGACCCTGGGTTGGATTCTCAGCAGCAGCCACCACTACCACCACCAACAACAAATTGAGAGGAGTGCCTTATATATTGGTTTGCAATTGCTGCTAAATCATGCCCTGAAACTTCAGAAAGAGAACTAAGGAAGACAATGGCGTCAAAGTGTTATCCTCTACACTTCTATTCATTGTAAGTCTGCTGATTCAGTGTGGGTCTCAAGTCAGCAAATAACTGTGGAGAGTAAACTGGGTTTTGATAATTAGGTTTTAGTCATCTCTTTTATCCATTTGGTCAAAAATTGGTCATGGGCTTAGCTCAAGTCAGTTGCAAACCCTAAAGGGTCTGCTCCTTTATTTGTGTAAGGTCTCATACTGACTAAACTTTGGTGGGGAAATAGGTTAGGACTGTTGGATATGACTTTGTGTCTGTTAGAAGAGGTAGTGGAAGAGGAATGGGACATGATGTAGACTTTCTGAAGCCAAAGCTATTAACCTCATTGCTTTATATGCTCACCACCCCTGAAACATACTCAGTGTGCCAATGCCAAGTTCTCCTTCAGTAGGCCCAGCACCAAGGAAAGGTGGGTTGATTTCATGAAGTGATGTAATATCAAAGATGGTTTTGATAATAGCAACTGCTTTGATAAAGTGAAACAACAGGTGGGTCAAGTTGTAGAGTACAGGTGTCTTCGCTGGAGACTTGCTAGCTGTATGGTTTGTGGGCTCTTACTTTCTCAAGGTAAGGAATGGCTACAGGCTTAAGCCACATCTGACATTTACCTCGAGGAGGGCTTCTTGTCAGGGTGCAACTGCTAGGCCCTGCTACATCCTAATGGTACAGAGAGTGGGCCAATCCTCCTCCTCAGTGGCAGCTATGTGTGGCCACCTCAGAAATTTGCAGGGGACTTTCCCATATCTGAGCAGGGGTTTGGTGCTCAATGAGTCAGATTCACAATTTTCTATATTCAGGAAAAGAATGAATCCTTCTGAATAAACTGAACTACTGAAATTTAGTCTAGGCCAAAATAAAAAAAAAAGGCCATTGACTGCTAAGCTCTAGGTATCTAAAGCCTGAGGTATGTACATGTCATAAGCATTCAGAAGAGAAGTGTAAAAATTATTGGGGGAAAATGCATAGTTTTCAGGATAGAAGTGTGGTAGGATAACATTGTAATGTAAAACTATATAGAGGGTTCTTCATAAAATAACATGAGAGGAGAATCCTGATTGTGGGATAATATAAATTTCAAATACCAGGTGATATTCGAGTCTTCCCATTATTCTGGGAACTCCATAAAGGCAAATACTGAGTTTCATTTATCATTGCATCCTCAGAGCGCATTCAAGTGCTTAACGTAAAGAAAGATGTCAATGAATTCACATTCTCATTTCAGTTATGAGGAACAGAATGAGTAATGAGGCAAAAGATAGGTTCTGTTTTGTGTTTCTGTCAATAGGATCATTTCACTTTGGGAAATATGGTTTCCTCTAAATAAACATAACATGTCATGCTTCCATATGAATCTCTTTCCAGTAGCTTTGCAAATCATTCTGATGGGACATTTAAAAATGTCTTAAATAAGCCTTAAATAAGATATTTGATATCAGTATGTATATTTGTGATTCAAAAAATCAGGGCAAAACATAGCTTTAATTAATTTATTGTGGGGGTACTGGGGATTAAACTCAGGGGCACTCAACCACTGAGCCACATCCCCAGCCCTATTTTGTATTTTATTTAGAGACAGGGTATAACTGAGTTGCTTAGTGCCTTGCTTTTGCTGAGGCTGGCTTTGAACTCACAATCCTTCTGCCTCAGCCTCCCTAGCTGCTGGGATTACAGGAGTGTGCCACTGTGCCCAGTTTGATCAATTTTTAAAGAGTTTTATAGTTTCTTGTTTATCCATCGCTCTTTAGTTTCATTCTGCAACTACGAACGGTGCTGGGTCTTGCTCAGAACAGTGGTATGGGTAGGCAGAAATGGCAGTTTCCTTTATGTCAAGGTTCTTCCCAGTTCTCAAGGCCCCATACAACTAGGTACTGGGAATACCAAGGAGGCCTGCAGGGAAGCTGTGGAGGTTGGCATGACATAGTAGCTGTGAATGTAAAGTCAATTTCATTTTCAGACTCAAGAATGAAAAGCCCTGTGAGTAATGAAACATTAGATGAACAAAGAAGGGAAGTAATGAAGAAAACTCATATCACTGGCACTTTGTGGGTCTAGAGGGGCTTTCACATCCATTGGCTTCTAATTGTTGACAGTTTTTCTTAGGTAGTTGGTGCTCTGATGACCCCCATTTTACAGATGAAGAAACTGAGGCTCAGAGACATCGATGAGGCCTATTTCCTTAACTAGGATGAGGTGGAGTCAAGATTTTAAACCATATCTTGTTTTGATTGTGCTGAGTGTATCACTCTGTCTCAAAAGGGTAAGAGATGTAGAATTCCCTGTGTGTCGGGGTGGGGGGGGTAGAGCTTACTAAGGAACAAAGGCGAGGGGACAGAAATCAGGTCAGACACACTGAGGGGCCATAAGGGGTTCCATCTGCAAAATCGGCTCTTTTATTTAAAAGTGCTACTGTGTCATCTGCATAAAATAGTCATCCTTAGTAGTTTTTCTATTTTTTTCTCAGAAGAAGTTGGCACTTAAGAAATAACAGCTGGTGAAAAGGTACAAACTATTTCTTGGTCTTGTTTTGGCAACTGCATGGCTGGAAGTGGGCAAGCAGCACAGAGCTGTGTGTGGATATTTGCAGCTGTCAGAGACTTGGCAGAGGATTTGTGGCAGTCCCCATGAAACATTTTGTTTGTAAACTGGAAGCAAGTCACAGTGAGTATATCCAGAAGAAGACCCTAATATGTCTTCAGGATTGGGAAAAGTAAAGTGCTTTACTTCATGAATCCTTGGAAACGAGAGATGGGTAAGAAGAGATGACCAGTGGTAGTTCATTTAATGTTCGAAATTCAGCATTTAGTGGTAGCATATGATGGCTATTAAGAATAGGTTCTTAGAACCATCGAACTTTAGGCTAAGTGAGGATTGGAGTTCATGTGCTTCAGAGGCAAGTGTGTAGCACATTATTCCTACATCCTATGTTCTTGATAGGTATCACAAACTGATCATTGTCTGCATTACTCAATGTGGCCTCAGAATACTTTTCAGTACAACTCATCAGGCAGCTACTACCCATTGGCCAGAGCTGAAATCTTGATTGAAATATATTTTCAATCTCAGTTCTAATCTAAGCTACTCATTTTATATAAGGGACTACTGATACTTTAGTTTTTGCAAAATCACATAGCATCTTCATAAGATGCTTAGAAGATTAAATTGCTTTATAAAGCCCTTGAAATAAGCATTAGCATATAGTTAATGTTTTGTCAATGTTGTTGTCTATATTAATTGGAGGGGTAGCATGGGATTATTGGAATGCAGTAGATAAAAACATCAAGAGGCTGGGATAGCAAAGTATAGGGAAGAGTGAAAAATGTCTGGAATTCAGAGAAAAAGGTCTTGGTTGGAACTGCAGTGCTACCACTTATTGATGAGGTATACAGCCTCTTGGAGCTTTAACTTCTTCCCTTAAAACGTGGACTATCAGTGTAAAATACATGTAATAGTTTTATTGCAGAAGTCAAATGAAACAAGAGGTGGAGTGAAAAATTGCTCTATAAAGATGAAAGAACTAAAGGCATCCAAGGGCAAAACTTGAGAATAGTGGAGTAAAGCAAAGAATATGTGCATTATTTTCAGACTCCAGTGGAGAAATCTTGGCTTTCATATCAACATGTCAGTTTCACTCAAATCATTTCTTCAAGATCTTCGTTTTGAAAATCCTTCTTAACTGATGAACCCCAGTGGATTAAAAGGATTATCATCAGCTCCTACACATCCATGCTGTGTCAAGAGCTTTGAGAAGCCAGGTCTTCAGCTGCAGAGGTTTGCCTGGTCCCCATTATTCTTGCTTGGTATTTATCGCCTTCCAATACAAGGGCAACTGAAAGATGTGCTACACAAGAGCCCCAAATATAAGACTTCACTTCACTTCTTTATTGGCAGATGGAAATTTGGAATTGGCCAAGAATTAAGACAGTTTTGATGTGGTATTTTGTTAATTAGACAATGTACCCTGTGATTAACTTCATTTTAGCTGCTTCTCAATGTAGTTGGAATTGGAAAAAATAACTATTTGATATGCCTGAGGTGGTGTAGCAGAGGTCTGAACTGTTTATTAGAAATTGAGGTCTGTGTCCATGGATGTGTGTGCAGGTGTATCTCAGGAAACAGGACACCTTCAGGTGAGTTTGCCAAAACATGTAACTCCAGGATGCAGTGTGAATGGTGCCCTTGGACCTGTGGAACAAGGACCTGGGACCATTTCTCATCACTCACACTTTATTATAGCCATTTTG